AATATATATATATATATATATATATATATATATATATATTCAGCAACGTTTGTTTATAATGAACAGAAAGAAGAAAAAAAAAACACACTTTTATTAGCTAATTAAGCACTTGGTTTAATAAATGTGTTTTGTATTTTTGGATCAAATAACACCAAAACATTGGGGGAGGACATCGTTCTAAATACCAAAATTTGCTAATATCTTCAAAAGTTGCTTGAAAGTGCCAATATAGACGTTGAGGTAATGATGTTTCATCCTTTTAGCGTTTGGCTAGATTTGTCTTCCACCTTCATGAATATCATGCATGATCTATAACAAAGTTCGTTCAACAGCAAATGTAAAATGCTTTGTAACTATTAACTTATTTCTTAAACCTTCGTTGGAATTGTAAAGCATTGTATTGATTACTATGGGTCCTCCAAAAAATAATTTCATGTAAACTGTGTATAAATATATATTGACATGAGGGAACTTGAAGGGGTGAATATCAATAAATAAGAATCCCATCATTTGTAGATATTGTCTGTAGTTGGCAATGAAACTTCTCATTTATGCACTCCCATCACTTCCATATAATTCATATTTATAAATATCATTTCATATATATGACCGACTTAACATAGGAAATAATAATCGAGAATATACCTTCATATTGTCTTTTAGAATAATCAAGAAAAATTGATAAATTTCGCTTTACCTAATTGAAAAGAGTAAAACTGTATAATTGACTGACATGAATGACCCACAAACAAAAATCGATTGTTCCTAAACAGTCCAATAATTCCACATATCTATGATACAAATTAATTTGATCAAACATTCAAGTATTAGCTCTATAGTCTTTAGTCTGTGGTCTATATACTCTACACAAATACTAATTACGATTTTAATTGAAGTCTCTTTGCAGATGATCATTTTTCTTCCTAAATGGTTTCAAATTAAAAGTGCATTGATCACTCTCACTAACAATCGTTTGTGTATCATTAGTCAACTTATCAATTTGGATTTAAAAATTTGCTGTTTTTTCACATCTTTTCTTTTCTCTCTCACATACACATAGTGACACATATGTTTTTCGTTTGTTTTGTTTGAACACATACATACGTGATTACGTGTTATCAAGAAAACTTCAAATATCAAAATCTTCTATATTTATCTTAATTTACTTCAAATATTTCGATAACGTTAATTTCTTTCAAAGAATTAGGGAAAACCCGAAGATATACCACACATACATTGCATGTAGCACCTAAATAAAGTACGTAACTGGTTACATGTAGCTTTCAGAATTTATCGTCGGTGTACAAACCCAAATGGTAAAAAAACTATACATAATTACATTATATATGTCACGCTCGCGAAATAAAGAAATGCATGGAGCAATACAATACATAAATAAAACGCACTAATACACTAATACTCTTTTATATATACTAATAATAGAAACGAACATACTTATTTACGTAAGTTTAATTGCATAATTATTATCTTTATTCAAAATTTTATATATTTAGTTTACCATCGACGGAGTTGATAAATCACCGGCGACGACGACGAGTGCTGAGAATAAGATGATCGTATGAAGCAACTCGGTCGGTGGACCTCGGGAGATAAACAATGGATTCAGAAACTGCACAAGCTCTTCTACAAGAAGCGTAAAGATTCAGTAACTTGATGCTGTTGCTCTTCCTCAAAACCTTCCTTGATTCACCTCCGGTGTTATGTTCTCCGTCTGCAGTGGCGCCTTTTGAACATTCTACCAATGCTGCCGTGAAGGGATCTCTCATGGCCGCCGCAGGGGACGTGTTCTTTTTACGTCTGGTGTTGGGGCTATGGTTACCCCGGTGAGGAGGGAGAGGCAAGAGGTTGTTTGATGATTCGTTTTTGCGGTGATATGGGAACTCTTTAGGTTCTCCGGGAAGCTTTTCCCATGAAAATGGGACGCCAAGGGGATGGAGAGGAGTTGCCGGAGAGCTTCCGGAGACTAGGAGGGAACTGAAGGACGAGGAAGAGAGTGATCTCCGGGAAGAACTTTTAACCGTCGAGGAGAGTTCGACCGAGTCGGATCGTCTTATTCGTCTAGGAGTAATTTGGGTCTTCGAGGAAGTATCCATCTGACAAGAATCTTAGTTTCGGACTATAGAGTTTTGATCTCTTGTATAACTTTGGATGGTAAGGACATAATTGATGATATGGTTGCAAACTTGCAATAGAGAGGACAGATTTGTCGTGGGCTAAGTTTTTTTGGTAAAATGTATGAAGTGGAGATATATAACATTTTGAAGTTTATACTTATATTTTTTTGAGTCTTTTGTTTCTATATTTTTTTTTATAAAAATTTAACCCAAAAGAAATTGGAATTTCACCCCATGGGTCCTTTCCTCACAGTTCTACCGTAGAACTTCTACGTAAGTTCTTCCCAATCTCATGATGATCTTATTCATAAACGACATTGCATTCAATTTGATTTAGTTAGAACAATGGATACTATTTTTATTAGGTGAGAAATCAATTAGTTTATGGTGTTCAAACGGCTAACTTGTCCCATTTTAATCTATTTGGCTGTTCATTGTGATCACAAATTTCACGCAAATCAGAAAGAGAAACAAATTAGTAATTCGTTATACTACATGCAATAGATGGGCCTCATGAAGGATGCAGCTTATTGGATCTGACCCATTATACCTTATAAAAGCCCTTTAAATCAACAACTTGTACATCATTAATTTGATATCTCCTCTCGTGTCATTTTCCTTTCTCCCTCACAATTAATGTCTCCATAGCAATTTGCACGCTGTGTTTTTGTCTTTACGTATCTTTTGACTCGTCTTAGTTTCCAAAGTTTCTGCCTAGACATGCCTCTTTCTATACATATTAACTGGTCAAGTACGTTTGTCTCGAAACGTGTGTCGTCAAAATATAAGTCACACACATTACGTACTGAAATACATTATAATTACATCCATCTCATATCTTGTAATGTAAATTTACTCTCAACGAACTAGGTTTGTGTTTAACTTCCTCTTCCATGCATACTAATTACTACTACTCCATATATGTCTTCCAAAAAAGAGGCACCAGTCAAAACTGTAGCATCAAGCTCCAACACTTTACAGCAAAACACAATCTATAATCTGTGATTTATCCAAACAAAAACCTGTGATTTGTGTTTTGTCCAGCGATGAAAGTCTATGCATGTGATCTCTCTATCCAACAGGACAAGAAAAAAGAGAGGAAAAATCGAAAAAAGTATCTGAAATGGTGTCTATATAAAGAATCATTCACAGCTCCTATCTTCTTCACGCACTACTTCAAAACCTCGAAAAGAAACACTGACAAAGAAAGATGAAGAAGATGAATGTGGTGGCTTTTGTGACGATCATCTCTTATCTTCTGCTTTCTCAGGTAAAATGTTTCAAATCATTTTCAAGATTTAGCTTCTCTCTGCTCTGCTTCGGACAAACCAAATAGAAACAATGAAATAATTTCTATGTCCTTCACAGGCACTTGCAGAGTTGTCTTCATCCAGCAACGCTGCTGAAATGTCCTCTGCTTCTCAGGTAATAAAAACATATCAAACAGACTTTTCAGAGAGTTAAACTTAGTAAACTTAAACTTCTTTTGTTCTTATAGATTCAGACGAACGACGAGAATCAAGCAGCAGCGTTCAAGAGAACACACCATCGTCCACGCTTCAGTTAGTCTCCTATTTTTACACTTTCATCCTCTGTTTTCAGTTCTCTTAAATTGAACTACAGCTTCTGATCATTTCATGATCCAATTTTTTTTATAGATTGTGGGTATGCATGCGCAAGGAGATGCAGAGAGACGTCAAGGAAGAAAGTGTGTTACAGAGCTTGTGGAAGTTGCTGTGCCAAGTGTCAGTGTGTGCCCCCGGGAACCTCCGGAAACACAGCAGCATGTCCTTGCTACGCCAATCTCCGTACACATGGCAATAAACTCAAGTGTCCTTAAAAGACTATAAAAACACTAAATATATGTGTGCTCTCATCTTCTGATTATGTATGTTTATTCTTTTGTTATTGCATGTGTGACCTTTATTCCAATTATCTTTACATTATTCAACTTAAAAACTTGTAACGATGATGAATAAATAAGATGAGTGATTTTATTAGTTACCAAGTTTTAGACGTGTGGTTTTTATCCCACTGCATACGATATAAAACATCATTTGACTTGTTAAAAAAAAAAAAGAAACATCATTTGACATATACTCGATTTCGGAGATTCCAGTTCCACTAAGACAAAACAAAACAACAAAGTTTCATTTTCATATTAACATAAAATCTCCTTACACATTACCAAACCAAAAAAAAAAAAAAAAACAAGAGGGAGAGAGACCAACGGCTCTTGGTTCGAGTTCACTTCTTGCTTTAGCCGTCACCGTTTCTTAGACTTAACCGCCACCACGCCTTTATAGAGCTTCACACGATCTTTCAACGCATCTCGCCGAGGCCGAGCCACCTTATTGTTTGGATCAAACAACAAGACCTCTTCAAACGCTTTCAATGCCGAAGGCAACTCCTTTTTCTTCTCATAAGCATCCCCAAGGTTGTTCCAAGCCGTTACATAACCTGGCTGAATCTTCACTGCCATTTCAAACTGAGCGATTCCTTTGTCGAGTTTATCCTCTCGAACATAACTCACTCCAAGTGCGTTATAGACCTGTCTTGATAGTTGTATTTCCAATGTCAATTGTTTTTTTTACTTGCTGGGTGAGGTATGTGTGTTAAAAATCTACATTACCTGGGCAAGATCTTGATCATCACCGTCCCATTTCTGGATGGCTTGTTGCAAAAACTTGTTGGCTGCAGGATAAAATTTCCTCCGCAGCATCACTGCACCGAGCTCGAAGAGCTCTGTTGCACTTGCATCGCCACTCCTAACTTGCTCCTTCAGATTATAAGAAACATAGCATCCAGATTTGATCAAATTAACAAAAAAATTGAGCAAGCATGGCTACTTGAATCAGTCTAACGTTCATAATGTCCGGATTTATCAGGTTTCCATATTGAATTCAAAACTTTCTGATTTCCATAATGTCTTAAAAGATTAGAGACAGACAATGATACGAGAGACGCCAATATTATTTCTTCAATTCTATTCTTCACTCTCTGGACTCTTTCAGTTCAGTTACTTAGCCTACTGTTTTCTACCGCAATCTTGGATATGCAATACCTGCAATTCTTTAGCGGAGAGGTCAAGTTCTCTACGCACAAGTACTTGACGGATCACATAGAAAGTACCAACTCCAAGCAAACCCAGTAGTAACAGCAAGTAAGAAAGCTGAATACTAAGTTCAAATAACTCCCCAACTTCATAAATCGGTTCAGGCTTTATGATTTCTGCTGCAGCTGCCAACTGTGGATGAGCAGAAATCATCAACATGCTCTGCCCTAGCAGAAAGGTGAATCCTTTGATTGGTAGCTTCTTCAAGGAAGCTTTGTTCAAAGCTGGTAAACCTCTAGCAGGAACTTCTGCAGACATCAATTAGAAATTAGAGATCCACCTATGATGAGAGTACAAAGACATCTAAATCCATCAAATCTAGTGAATTACATATACATCTTAATAGTATCCATATCAAAAATCAAAATTTGGAAAATAGTTTCAGATGCATATGGATTTAAGACTGTTTAAGAGATTAAAGTCCTAAACTTTTGCAAATTTCTCCCCCAAAAAACACACCTATGTATTGCTACAAAGTAAATGTGGCACAATAACATTTGAATGTATAGAAAAGTATGAAGCTTTAAGCAGGGAAGAAGAAAGAAGTGTAAGTACCATGAAAAGATCGAATGGCCAAAGTCCTTCCATGTATCTGCCTTCATCCACAAGTTCAAAAACATGGAGGAAGATTAGCAAGTTCATGAACAAGTCTCAACCATCCCACCACAAGAGAAACAGTGGAAAGTGATAAATGAAAAGCCAACACAATTTCAACAATAGAAAGCTCAAAATTTTGATTCTGTTCTTGTCCAGATTCCACATAATCTACTATGGTTCCGAGTATTTCATAAACCAATCGAGTCACTACGAATTAAGATCCTCAAATGGTAAAACAAAAACAGAGGAAAGTCCTAGAATAAACTGAGATTAGCAACTACGGCTAATGATGATGCGAAAGAGAGCAACGTGGAGTGTTTACCTGAAGAGAAATCTTCTTGGGCGAGGCAGAGGAAGGGAGAATCTGAGAATGGTGAAGATAGAGACGGTGAATTGGAGGAGATGAAGAAGATAGTGTATGGAGAAGCATGTTCGATTCGAACATAAAGGGTCACTGAAGTTTTTTGTTTTTCTTTCCGATGAGATGATTAATCTCAAAAGTCTGAAATCAAAATCGTGCTTGTGAGAGGAGAGTGTTTGTGTTTGTTTTGCTCTCAAGAAGATAGAAGCAAGTTGGGAAGAAGAAGATAAGGCCCACGTTGCTCTTCCAATTTCCGGTTTAGTTCATTCCGGTTTGATTCTACATTATTTCATTATTCGGTTTAGGTTATTTTTTTTATTTTTTATACTGACATCAATTGTAGAGGATAAGCCAATTACCCAATCAAGTTACAATTCATGCGATATACTAGAGATATTAAAATTGATGCTGCTTAATTTATTTTCTGTTAAAAAAAAAACTAATTATTTCACCCTAGATTCAACTTTAGCTTTATACTATTACATATTTGTTGAGAGAAGTAAAAACTAAACTAATACTAAAACTTCATTTGATACATGTATCTAAAATATGGTAAACATCTAAAAATTAAAACTTAAAATAACGTACTATTATTTTATTTTATCTAAAAACTTATCATACTTTGGAGAAGAAGACGTATCATACTTTTGACCAATAAGCTTACCAAACTATGTACATTGATCAAGTTATTTCATAATCCGAGCTAGTTTAACCATAGGGAATGGGGAAATCAGGTTACCAAATGTGAAAACCAATACATTATCTATAAAGAGAAGATATGGAAATGTTTTAGATTGTTGTTTTATTATTTCTTAAGAAAAATGTTTTAGATCGTTTACATACTCTTGTTGTAGATTATGAAGTATTACCAAAACAATGATGTCGTAATATTGAAGCCAAATGAAAATTAAAAAGTAAAATGTACTCCAAATGAAAATTCAGTTACAGAGGAAAAAAAAAAAAAGGAACATAGTGGGTTTAGGTAAAATACAAACCAACCCAATGAGTTTTTCAATTTCCTTTTTTTTTTTTTTTCTTTTCTTTATGTAGGATTTTGCACAATACTACTGTCTTATGAGAGAAATTAAAGAGAGCCAAATAAAGCACAACTAAAATTCAATGAAATCCCATAGTAGCTTTGAACGCAGGAGCATCCGGTGGCGGTGAAGGCAACACCGTTAACGCCAATATGCCACTCACCGCTGCTGCAATCGCTCCTAACACAAACGCCGGAATGTTTCCACCACCGAATAGTTCGTCGAATGGTCCACCTCCCACTGATACCACCATCTAACATCATTTTAACCCCAACCAAAAACAGTTAGTCATGACATTTTTTTCTTCTTTCTAAAATTAAAATAAGTAAAACTAATTAATTTTCAAATGGGCTAACCTGAGGGACGACAATGGCCAAATTCAGAACACCTAGGGAAAGTCCTGTGGAAGGTAAAAGATATACAAAAGAATTTAGTTTAAAACTATGTAATTCAAGATTTACAATATGGTATATTTCGTATGGTGAAATGAAAACCGCATATATTAATGTTGGTTACTGCTTATGGAATCATTTATCTCAATAAGTTATTTAAATCACGAATCTGCACGTATTAAATGCTTCTTTTTTAGCTTTTTTTTTAGGTCCCAACACTTTTAAGAAGATTTGTCGACTTGGATTATCCAAAACAAAAATGGTAACTTTAGATTAAAATATAAAAGCAACTCAAAAGTAGAAAAAAATTTACCTTGGCCGGCACCGGAATTGGTTGAAAATATGGAAGCTAGTGCAAATGGGATACTAAACGTAATCTGCAATTAATTTAACAAAATTTAGAAAACTTTTTGGTCAAACTATATGTTCTTTTAATATAGTTTCTTTCTGAACTAACGACAAATCATACAAATAATAAAATAACTAGCCAATGAATAATATAATAGTAACGGTAAAAAATAACCGAAAAAAAAAAGAAAAACAGAGAGGGAGAGAGATGACACTTACGGCTTGGGGAATACCGAGGATGGCGAAGAGAGTTAAAGCACCAGCTGTGACGTTACCAGGTGGTCCTGTCTTAGCGCCGCCGTGATCTCGTCGGTGGTTCTCGGCCTGTTTCGTAACAAGAACCGTCATGGCTAAGCAGATGGCGAGGATGAAGTTAACAATCCCCCAAAGCCTTTTGGCTCCTCCCAGTTTACGACCAACCCATTCAACACCAAGAGACATGAAACCAAGAACAATAGCGTTAAGCATAAGCCCCAACGCACCAGCTCTGACTCCGTCGTTGTAAAGCTTCTTAGAGGCTGCGGATGCGGTTGCGTCTGAGTTTCCTCCGTACACCTCACGGCCCATCCAGTCAGTGTCGAAGAGGAGGAAAGGGAACCAAGCGATCCAGTTTAGTGCTGTGACTATAAGAAGCATCCACATCGGTCTCTTTAGTTCCTTGAAGGCTCCGAAGATTTCTCCGAAAAACGGAACGTTCGAGGGTTTCCCATCGGCTGTTGGCTCCGGCGTCCATGGCTTCTCCTTCACGTAACAGAGAGATACGAAAGTGACCAAGAGGAGAAGCGTTATGGATAGGAAGAAACACGTTTTCAGGTTGGCGCAGTAGAGATCGCATGACTCGGTCATGGTGAAAGGCACAACTTTGTAGAGGTTTCTGTAAGACCCCGCAGCGTAACCAAGAACGTTTCCGACCGCCATGAAAAACGAGAAAAACGCGTTTGCGGTTCGCGTTTTCTTAGCGTTTCCGGCTGACAAATCAGCCAAGAAAGCTCTGCAGGGTCCTTGCAAGGTGTTGTTAGCCACGTCAAGAATCCAAAACCCGAGAGCGAAGATCGCTATAGCTCGAGTCCTCGGCGGTTTGTTAAGCTGATCACCCATGCTGTGACCTATATCGGCGGCGTAACCGATAAGGAAAACAGCAACGGTGACTAAACCGGCTCCGGCGACGATGAAAGGACGACGACGGCCGAATCTTGAGGTGCAACGGTCACTGTGGTAACCAACGATAGGCTGAACAAGCATACCGGAGATTGGTCCACAGAGCCAAATCAGAGAAGCCCATTTATGTGGGATTCCGAGTAGCTGGACGTAAGGAGTCAACAGAGATAACTGTAAAGCCCAACCGAACTGTACACCGGCTGCTATCGAAGCCACCGATATGATCTTCCGGAGCCGCTCAGGCTGATCTAACTCAGCCGTCTGCGTTTCCAACGCTCCCACACCGTTTGCGGCTTTCTCCATCGGGTGGCCGACCATGTTTTGACCAATCAAGAAAGTAAAAAAACAAGTTTTATAAAATTTTCCGGTGGCTCTTGCGGTGGTTTGTAGTGGTGGAGGAAGAGGAAGAGTGGATAGGTATTTATAGGAAAACAAGGATAGGATTTATCCAAAGAAGAGACAGTGAAGAGAAGAGAACCTTGAGAAGGCATACATAGAAAAGAGAAAAACACAGAGCTGTCTCTTTAGTGTAGGGTACCTTAATGACACGTGTCTCTCTTACATTAATTTTGTTTCTGTCTTGTATTTATTTAGTTTCTTCTTCTTCTTTTATATCGTCATATATTTAATTTCTTTTTTTGGAACTTAAATCAATTTAGATTTTACCTTCTTCACCCTTTACTATATACTGATATGGACGTTCGATTCTCTCTCACACTTTTATTTTAGGGATTTCCAATTTGTAATATTTTAGTGATGAAAACTAAATGAGAATATTGTTTAAAAAAAATAAAACTACGAAACTTTAAATTTGGATAGAGAAAAGTCAGAAATAATATGGTATGGGCATATACTATGTTGATAGTTATATTCGGATTGATATTTCTTGTGATTTTTAAATTAGGTAAAGAGAACAAAAAGAAGAATATTAACTTTCGAATTTCGATCCGAGCGAGTGGCACTAGAATAATATTCTGATAAAACTATATACTATTATTGTTTTATTTTCAGACGAAAGCTTAATAATTGTAAGATAATATATCAAATCATTATATAAGAGATATATATATCAAATAATTGAAATTCTCTTTTTTCTCAAAAAAATAAATCTAACAGAGTTTTATAGATATCTAAATCTTGGATAAACAAAAAAATTTGAGGACAGTTTTGTAACTTTATTTTCAACTCTTCTACTATTTATTTTATACAGCGTGATGATGATACAATTGTTTCATAAAAATGCCAATCAAAGGAACGAAATGTATCAAAACACTTCGAAATATATCAACATAATTGGCGTGTGCTAATTTTGCATGCATATAATCCTTAATTTTGATTTATATATATGCTCTTAAACTAAAATATATGTAGTGTGAAGAGAATAAAGAGAGGAGAATAATGTAGTACCATGCATTAGGCAAAATTACATAAGAAAAGCAGCTACATAAAAGAGGTTTGTCTTAAATTATGAAGACATATTGACTTTTATCTTCTCTGATCCACAAGTTAAACGAAGATAAGCTAGCTCACATTATCTGATGGTTGTTATTAAGATCACAATTGTCAATTTCTTCCGTTACTTCTCAAGTCTCGAACCTACTACTACTACTACTACTACATGCAACAATCTTGTGGACGACTTGACCACTGCTAATAAATAGACGATGTAAAACAGTAATATATGTATATATTCCCCAAGTATATACACTATCTATATGATTATATTTATCAATTTTTTTTAAAATTATTATCTAATAATATCTTAAATAAAACTTTTGTTGCTTTTATTCATGAATATATTTTTCTTCACATCCTAATTTCTTAAATAATATCAGTGCGATTGTTAAAATAGAAGTGTTTAAATACATATGGCATAGTGGAAAACTGGAAATGGAGATAAATTCAACACTAGTATATATATGAAAAGACATATAACCTGTTACGAACAACCAAAACCAATTAGTTTTTAAGTTAGTCTTGTGTTGCAATCATATATAGTTTTGTCCACATACAAGCTATTTTCAAATACATTGTTATTTGTTTGTCCATTTTTCAAAGTATAACATATATGTTTTCTATAGATATTAAAAAAATAAAAATGGAAGTTTAAAAATGAATAAAGAACATTGCATCCACTAACAATGATCCAACACATAAAAGGGGAAAAACCAATTTGACGAAGTCTGGTAAATGTCTCCCACAAAAACAAAGTGGATTCTGTATCATTGCAGTTCATATGCTAATGATTTCATGGTCCATTAAAATAAACTGTGTGTGTGTGAAATTATTATGTAATGGAACCATATTTTTATTTCTGAAAATAGCTTCAAATTTTAGTGGCCTTTTACTTTATTTTTGGGGGGTAAGTGATTATAGTTTTATTAATTCCAAAACATTAGGGTCGGGGATTGGGACCCCAAAAGAAGGTTGTAGTTAGTTTGCGTGAAAAGATTTGTGCTTTGTTCCATCATTATGCATCCGTAGTTGATATTGACTCGGCAACATGTGTTTTGTTGCCTCGATTCTCTATTTTATTTTCTTCTTAGCTTTAGATATTACATTTAAACTTCCATCGTAAATGATCTTACATGTAATATCATGATTAGAATCTATGAGAAGGGCCAACATTTAACCCACGATACCATAATAATCTTTGTTTAATATCATTCGAATAATAAAATGAATAATAACTTAACTAATTGAGACGAAGAATATTTATTAAATGTAATATCAAGATTTTTGAATCCGATAATCGTGACATTATTGAATTCTAAATTTCTAATTATCTAAGGCTTGAGTACTCGAATGTATATATGTATTTCACTAGAAAATGAGGATGATTTAGTACAATTTATGAGATATTCATAATCTGTATCGCAAACATGAATTTTCATGTTTCAGTCATCCACATTGAAAGGTAGAAGAAAACAAGGCTTAAAAAATACTCAAAAGTAGGGCAAACGTAAAGAATAAACTACTGCAATATACTTCAAAAAAGACATGAGAATTATTAACTTGAAAAAAAAATAGGACCGAAAGAGTAAAGACTAAATATATTTTCGAGAAAAAAGTTACAGATAATTCATTAATTTATAACTCAGAGATTTCGAGTGACGTGGTGCTGATCAGTTCTAGGGATCAACAATCAATCTCGTGGCATTAATGGAATAAAGGATCGAAGAAAGTTTTTTATATTATTTTTGAAGTTGTTTTTTGGCTAATTGACCATTGTAACTATCCATTGAACGATTTTAATTTAAGTAACGGCTACTCTAATTTAGTACTAGTATTTTATTTATGTGGTTCAACAACATTTTTACGTTATGCAACTTTTAAGTTTATCAATTATTATTATATGTTTTACGTGCGTTGGAATTAGTAAGATCTCAGTTATTCTCAGTTCTTTTTGGTTGACAAATTCGTCGTTTAGCTATTATGACAGAAGCTTCTCATTTTTTTTCCAACTCTTGCATGGTCCGATACTCCCTATGCTATATACTAAACGACGATGAATTAGAAGAATACTAGCTAGCTTCTTAGTATTAATTATAATGACAAGCTTTGGAAACACACCCCTGTCCGTAAAATAAGGTCTTTGAGATAAATTAAAGTCGCAAAGACTTGTGTTTGAGTTTTTTTTTTTTTTTTGTAAGTACTATTTCAAACAAGGAAAAAGTAACACACCAAACGATTATAATCATAACAAAAGGGAGATCACAGCTAATAATATATATTTTTTAAAAAGATAGAAAGAAGAGAGACTAAAACACAAATTAAGATATTAATAATTATTTCAAGAAAAGATTGTAGTGGTCGGTAGAAAAAGAATAATTAACAAATAAATAAGTTTTTTTCTGAGAAACAAAAGAAATACATAAAGAGAATGACACGTCGTCGTAGCTAACGGGAAGAGTGAAAAGTTCTCACGCGTATAGTATCAACGAAGAAGAAGGTTACGTACGTGAGTGACTCAATTAGTCAAAGAAAGAGAAATTTTAGAGTGTGGTGTGGTTGTGGTTGTGGTCTATATCGTGGAAGACTTCGTTGACTCTTTGTGTCCTTACTCCTAAGTTAACGGTTAACGGACAAAGTCTTCTTGTTTTATTTCAGATGTTCGTGTATGTGTACACACTGACACAAACACACACACACACAGAGGTGATGTAAGTTACGTTTTCAGTTTCGTTTCGGTCTTAATTAATCTAAAAGTGAGTAAGCTGAAGCCATCTAAATCGTGTGGTTGATTTTTTCTAGAGTTCATTTACATTTTTGGTTGTTGTGACTTTTTTGAGCAGAGTTGAGATTCGTTAACATTTTTCCCGGAAAACATATACAAATGTCGCATGAGTTTTGTTTACTTTTTACTGTTACTCTATGCATTTTTCAGTACTACCATCTTCATATTTTACGTTTGATAAAATGGACACGTACGTAAATGTCATCACTATTCATTCCTACTACCATCGGCAAAATTACTTGGAGGACTATTAAACATTCAATATAAACAGGGGATCGTACAAAAATACAATTTTTTAGAACAAATTTTACGAATATGTCATATTTGCTAGAATCTTACAGATTTGTCATTTTTGAATATATATATATATATATATATATATAAGGTTAAAATACATATTTTATAATATATACTAAACCTTAAAAACAATTGAAACCGATTAAATCCAGACATAACCAATAAAACACATGTTTAATCGTATTTTTCTAATTAAAAAAATATCAAATCTATAAAATTTGATCAATAATAGCAAATCCACAAAATCACAAAAATAGTAGACTATAAATGATTCATGTAAATCATGCCAAACTGAAATATAACCACAGCTTTCGATACAACAACGTTGGTATCAATTAACTTTTTTTTTTCAAAAAAATTAATACCAACCAAATCTCTTTCAAATCATCAGCAAAAAAGGTATTAAAATCTAACCAAGTAAAGAATCTCCACTTTATTTTCAATTTTTTTTTTTTTTTTCCTGTAGTTGAGCAATTTCCAGATCCATCGAACCATCATATAAGATAGTCGAATCAAGCATCTGAGTCGCTTTTACTTTCCTCCCCAAAAAAAATCCTTCACGGATTTTATTTATACACCATGGCATGCATGCGCATCTATATCTCATCACTACTTCAAATATTATAGTAAAAAAGTTAGGATTTTTTATCTAAAAATAAAAACGTATGCAAAATCAAATTCTCTTCTGACTATTCCAATTCCAAACATTCAGTTCTCTTTTTGCTTATGTCAGGATGATTTTAATTTTATTACTCAAAATTAAAAAAATTTGTTCCAAAAAAATAATTAGATTTTCTTCTTCTAACAATATATAAAGTGAATTTTATTTATTAATATCGATTCAATAGGTTCAGTAATTTTATTACTGAAATTATCCTGTGAGTT